TAAATATCTAAATAAATAAATAAATAAATAAAAACCGGGTGAAAAAAGTAAACAATCACAATGGACTCGTTCAACTTCCTACGCTTATCAGTAGCTGACTATCAGTAAATTCAAATTCCCATAAAATAGGAAAAGCCTGCTGAACGGGAAACCCGACCACTAGTGGAGTGGGCTCACAGTGGTAGTTAAGAATTGCTCGGGGCGGCTGGGAGCCTTCAGATTTGACTGACAACAAGAGTAGTGCGGGAATCAAAAAGAGCCAGCTGATTTCCGAGACCCGATAAGACGCACGACATCCGGTGACGTCAACGGGGAGAGCAAAATTAGCGAGGTAATCTGTGCAGGTGGGCGGGGTCCGCCTAATCCCTGACCTGCCGACCTAGGCTCACAACGATAGTGAAGGTCTCTTCCAGAATTGGGAAAAACACGGTCGGCTACCTGTGGCGGACAACGAACATGGAGTGATCAACAGTCACAAGTTACCCCTACAAAAACGCCTGAACCAGCAAAACCCGGGACCCGGAAGTCCCTTGGGGCTTATTCATTGAAATAGAGTCGCATGACCACGCCCCACCAAAAAATAGCCACGCCAACGCGGAAAAAAATTGCCGACTCAATGCAATACGATGCATGCCAGCTCAACGAGTCCTCGGGGAACCCCCGACGTCCGTCCGTTTGTCTTCGGCGACGCGTTGGCGTTGAGAAAGTGGAGCAATCACGGTGCTTGCAGCGCCACGACACGTTTCTCTGCACTGATATGGGACCCACTCAGCTAGAGTGCACCACATTGACTTTGGATCCGGGGCCAGTCACGTAGGGTCAGCCCCGTGTCCCAGGCGCGACAGCTTCAAAGGGCAAACATTCGAGGGGTCATTGGGTCATGAAATACACTTCAAAACACAGCGACTGAAAGGTCAGTAAACAGGTTCAGAGTAAACTTATTTCCAGCCAGGTACATGGCTCGGAGAGGGCTTATCACTGATAAGAGCTTGAAAATAAATAGCGGTTGAATTTTCATGCCAGCTTGAACTCTCAGCAGTTCACGAAAACTGTGCAGTTTTAGGGTGACCGCTTCGCAGCCGCACGCCTAGTTATTAGGAAATGCACCCCTGCTAAGTCAGTTTGACCGACCATTGGATTGAGTCCATCACACTGCTTGAGACGCGTGCGGTCGTAGGAGCGCCAACTAGCTCCTCGTTTCTCATCGAATCTCTTTGGCAAAATCCAGAGATTTCAAATATCCTAGGAGTTATTTTGAGAGGCAATCACCTTTGATAGCCGAAGAAGCATACGGTAAGAAGAGCCCCACATCAATGAGGATCAAACTTGTATCCCAGTGGAGGTTTCGGGGTAACTAGAGGCAAAAGGCACAGTGGGGTTGTGGGTAGGGTGACTCAGAATGGACTCCTGGCCGCTGGAATCCAGCCGAGATCGCCCCGCACCTATCCCAAGCAAGACCTGCGCCTATAACCATTACAGCGAACATCTGCACAGCATAGTACCGCATACAATGTACAGATCGTAAATAACAGGACCCCATAGCCATCAAATGGATACGGTAGTTTTATGTTACTGAGGTATTGTTGCATAAATGAGGAGGGAGCATTAATCGAGCCGCTCAACTTCTGGTAGGAAGAAACCAGTTCAATCACGGGCCCGCGACAGCCACCACGCGATGAATGCGAGCTCAGGAATGCAGGCAGTTCCTTTTTTGGTCCGAACCCGTTCATCAGAATCAGGCAGAGTGAAGCAAATGAACCCGAATTTGGTCGACCCATGGACATCGATGGCTTCAAGGTTCTACTTATGACCTCGTTTTTGTTCCCACGTCATGATTTCACACAAGTTGTTGAGGTATGTGGGGTCAATTGACGTTAGTTCGGGTACCCGACAGGAGGCTCCGTCGCGCGGCAAGAAGGCAGAGTCAGCGGACGAGTCGCAGCGCGTACTGTAGTGATTTCGCGTCAAGTTAAATAGTCCTACATCGCACATCACGCGCTGCAACTCGTCCGCTGACTCTGCCTTCTTGCCGCGCGACGGGCCTCCGGTTGGGTACCCAAGTAAGTTCGCTTTGAAAAGTCGATATTTACAAGAATATTGAGAAAGACTGGAGAAGCAGGGTTTCATTCAGTAAGGAGGGGCATTGCGATTCAGAGCGCTTAACGCGTTTAAAACCACAGCAAGCATATTCTTTTACTGCAAACATTTACGGCTAAGCCTTAGAGGTGGCAGGGAGAACCCTGGGTGAATCGGCGATACTCGTGCTCTCGGGGTACCTCCTCCCCCTCCTGGGCTTAGTCTGAGCTGCCCAGTAGACAGGTGAATATTGCGAATATACTTTCCATAGGTGCTTATGTCATCCAGAACACGAACTACTACATTAAGCTGAAGAAAACCTAAGCTTCTTGAGCCAAATTGGCAGTAGAGCAGACTGTGCCCCGCAAGCCCCCCCCTACTTTGTGAGACCCGAGAAGCAGATTGATAAAAAACAATACGATGAGAAATTGCAGAAACAGAGAAATCGCAGAAATCGCAGCAAGAGGCAAAGCAAACTGCTGAAAATTCCAACTTTCGGATCCTGTGGCTTTTATTGTTTCGCTTTCCATTCTATGAATGCATAATTCATGTGCTGCTACCCGATTCAGTAAACAGCCTTGGTTTCATGAATTTCACGCCGCTGGCCTCGCAAAAACACACCGAATATTTGACTCTTTCGGCGCTATCGCAAGATACAGGGGCAGCCTTTAGAGCCAAGCCTAAGAGGGAGCAGGAATTTCGGGGAAACGGAGATAGGAGAAAAATGTTCATGCACACTGGATTCTCTTTTGGGAGCCTAAGGCGCCTAAGGCTCAGCCATTCTGACAAAAAGAGAGATTTTACGTGCTTTCGAAGGTGTCGCCACAACAATGGGCCCCGTATATTGCGATAGCTCCGACTTTTCCACAGCAGGTATGTACGCAATATTTCGTCAGCTGTTACGGCATTTCACGTACCGTCATTGTCTTGTTCGTGGATTTCCTGACGCGTCATGGCTGCCATGAAACTCGCTTGACGGGGAGTGTTCCGTGGGGTGATGCCACAGTCCACGTCGTCCACAGTGACGGAATCGTCCGGAAGCGAAAACGTCGACGTCGTCGAGTCGTCGGTCAGTGACATCTTCTGCATACTCTGAAATGTACGGACAGTTTCCCTGGAAGGATTGGGAGGCAGAGCGCAGAGAAGCAGATTAGTGTCTGCGTCCCTACACTCATCGACCAAGCTTCCAAATTATTTACTCCCGCAATATGTTCACAAAAAACTCATGAAATATTTTTTTCTATTAACGATAAAACAGAAATTCATACTAGGCAGTATCCATAGAAGCAGAGTGCGGTCTGCGTCCCTGACCTATTAGACCTATGGGGTCCAACAAAACACCTAAAAAATGAGATAGGCTTTCCAGAAGGTGGCCTCTTTTTTCGGAGCAACTCTTTTCATAGAAAATTTCATTTAAAACCCCGAGTGAGAAAAAACTTACATCAGTAGACACATATCCATTTCTTCCCATGGTGATACTTGGGAATATCGTAGAAAATCCATTTTGCGAATGGTTTTCAAAAGGTGCAAGATAAGAAACCTGAAAGAAATCGATTATTGATTTATTGGCAATTCGATACTGGAAATTCACCCCTGGGATTTACACTGCTTTTACAAATAGAGCTATAAACTCCAATCAGATTTTGATAGACCGAATTTATTTCTGACTCTGCGCCGTAAACGAAGGCCTACTCGCTGTAACGGATATTGATTTTACGCGCATCGATCGATACACGTTTTTCACACCCCATTATTAGCAACTTCAAGTGAAAAAACAGTCCTTCGCCACGCCATTGTAGAATTTGAGCCATTGCAGACCGCTGTTATATGTGCACCTCCGTGGCTTTTTTCTCTGCTTTATCAGTAACCAAAATTTTGCAGTTTTTATCAGTGTCCAAATATATGATAGCTTTTGCGCTTGCTGACGCTCACTGGTGAACTTGTTACTCAGAAAAATGGCAAATAAATCACAGATAATGATTCTTTTTTATGGGATGGCGTGCTGCACCATGTGCCGACCGCAATGTATTGAAATATTACTCCTAATCTTCAGATGATGAAGAATCTACCTTCAGCGGTTTCGGAGAGTCAGCCCACGTCGGTCGAATTTTAGGCTTCGACAACGGCTCACGATCGAGAACAGTCCATACTGACTGCACTGGTCGCAGGACAAGTTGGCTGAAAAGTAGCAGTTTATGAAGATTTCGAGAGTCTCGGGAGAAAAGACCCCTTCCAAGCGCGTTTTTTTATCTATCTGGCTTCAAGTCTAGACAATTTTACACAATTTAGACTTCAATCCGAGTTCAAATAAAAATTCGCCATTACACAGTAGGCAGGTAGCAAAGGCAGAACAAGCGCCGAGGTTACAGTTCAGTTTTGCGTGTAAAAGGAAGCCTTGCCGGATCAACAAAATCATTTCACACAATCGGAGCTACTTATTTAGCACAAGAATTTCTATTGAAATGGGAAAAAAGCGGTATGAATGCCGGCTGAATCGCAGCCTCGAACGCTATAAAAACTTCGGCGGAAGGCATATGCATGGCTCAATCACGAAATTATGCACAGAGAGCCGATTAGAAGAAAAACGTTGCTAGTATTTATCATGAAAAAACCACTAAAATGAAAAAATATAAAAAACAAACCCAGAGGGAAGAAATCCGAATATCTAAAGAATTGGCAGAATGTGAGGGTACTGTACCTGTAGGGTGGTGGTGCGTGTTTGGGTTGAAAGACGACGTCATAGCTGGGCGGTGACGGGGGCGGCGCATCTTCTTGCGAGATCCGATGTGGACGAGATCGCTGATGCAACGGTCGCATCTCGTCCAGCAGCGCTTCGATTCGAGCTTCCTAGATTTTTTCGAATAGCTGTGATATATACTGTGCCCAAAGAATTTACCAGAAAGACTACCGTTACCCCAAAGACCGTTTCTCCGAAATCTAGCTTGAAATGAAAATATTGAGGGCCTGGTTCTCTTCAGATGAAAATCTAATCGAGGATAAAAAAGACCATTTGGGGCAACCGAACCTAAACTGACGCCTATTTTCCACCAATCGATAAAATCGATATATTGATCTGAAACCTTTGGAGCGATGCCCTTTCCTACCACTGGGCTGAGACCGGGGGTACGGAACTGAGGACAAAAGGGAGGAGAGGCAATGAAAGGTGGGCTCTGATCAATTCTCAGCCATTAATGGCGCATACTGTGGGCTGAACTCTCATGAAAAATCAATATCACATCAAATTTCAGCGTAAACCCTACTTTTTCTCACGGACCAGCCACGCTCATTTTACAATTGGGATAGGTTAAGGTATTTGATAGGGTATCGGCAACAGATTTAACTGCATAGCAATGACTTATAAGGCTGAACTGTTTGAAAGAGAAGTCGTAATGTTGAACAAAATAAACACTAAAAGGAAGACATATCAGGAAGAAAAAATGGCCAAAAATAGGATAGTGTTCGTGGTACCTGAAGCGGAGCGCTGTGATGCACATTCGGCTGACGTGCGCAACCGCGCGAAGCAGTACATGTAATCCATTCTGAAAATCATTCCGTTCATCTGCTATTGTTTTGCTTACACGCACACAATATTACCTCCAGCACCGGTTCTGTTTTTCAAAAACGAATGCAACATCTTTGCTGCCTCCATGGATAGAACACTCATCTCCCATAACAGAGTCGCGCTTCAGCTGGCCTAGGACCACTGCGTGTCACGCGAGGAAAAGGACTGTAAAGTACTATGCACCTCACGGGAATCCCGTTCCTAAGTGGCTTCTTCCGCTTTTTCCCACCATTCACATGATGCTAAGGATCAAGGACAAAACCTTTTCACAGCTTTTTTTTTTTCAAAATCCATTTTCAGAATCAACGTTGTGTGCAGCTACGACGGGCGTCCCCGACTCTACACACTATCTTCGGTTTGGTTTCGACTCCGCTGCGGAGCTTGCAGGGCCTCCAACCGGGTAATATGACACGAACCCAGTGAGATATGGTCCTTTTCTTGTGCCAGAATTTACGATTGTTGCTGTAGCCTACTGCCCAATATACCAAGGTGTTTGCCATTACTTTGGGTATATCAATTCAAACTAACAATGATAAAATGAAGCGACGGGCAGCCGGCGTATAACAGGTGTTTTTGGTGTATTGACGGCTACCCACCAAACAATTAATTTCAACAATATTGAAAGAAGGCCAAGAGACGGCGTATACCAGTGTTTGCTTACTATGTGTCGCAGTCAATCAACCAACGAAGCTAAATATGAAGAACCTGGACACGGCGGCGTACCAGGGTTTTTTGATAGACTATTTGTTTGGACAGAGCATGCCCAGTTAGACAAGAACCTGGGTACTTGATTTTGCCATGGCCTAGTTGGTCAAAAGCGTAGTTTCACCTGGAAGCAGAAACCACATCGCCGTTCAACATCCCACTCCTTGTTAACCAATAAATCACCCTAAATCCAGAACTCTACCTATTGACAGCCCTGAGAACGCAACAAAAGTAGCGCCGTTTTGAACCCTAATCCCTACTCCCTCGAACGAGAAACATAGTCAGCAGTGCCAACAACTATACAACCTACTGCCTATCAGGCCGGCCGCCGGTAAAATTTGGTCAATTTGGACGCGCTGCTACCAGCGTAAAGACGAGCTGGCACTGATACGTAGTGACAGGAAAAAGCGAAACGAATGGAATGAAATGGACCAGATACCAAAGGGGGAAACCAGTAGTCAAGCCGATTACCCTTAATATATTCCTCTGTTCAGGAGCGCCGTGCCGACTCAGGGCCACCGCCGCGCCAAATCGACGGCGCCCGGTTCGCTTGATCTTGAGGAAACTTCACACAGAAATCACATAACTCGAAACTAACAGGATCACCTGGGGTGAATTTTGTTGCCACGGGAGAAAGGCAAATAATTCAGCGAGAGTCAGACAACGAGAGTGCAACACACTCTGCGTCTATACCCTGGATTACTGTTTCAGAACGGCACCGCGAAATGTAAATAAACAATAATCGATGTGGATGAAGAGACACTGGAAAAGAGGTTACGAAATTCAAATTCACTGATTCAGGAACCTAACTGAATGGGTCAGCACATCGCGCCATGCACGCCCCTCCCATGCCGAGCCGTGGAAAGGATTGTGTGGAATGTATGGCATGTATATACAACACATTGATCTTCATGAGCCAAAGTCAGCGTTTCCGCCCCTTCAGACACATCCAATACTAATTGAAACCCACTTCGGTGATAGGAACTTGTTTCGTCTACGACTGGATTCGAACTGGTTCGCAGCTCGACTGTAGGTGACACTTAGACCGCCTGCGCAACTGCGCTACGCGTGCCTAGTAAACAAAACTATGCGCTAGGAAGCAGCAAAGACATACATTTGGGTGAGATTGGATGTTCCTAGGGGGCTATTTGGGTTGGGATAGCGTGGTTACTACCTACTACCACTACTACCAGCTGGAACTAAGCCATATTCATGGGGAGTAACCGGTTCCGCCAAGGCTGTGCAACCTCCCGTATCGTTCATGTAATAACTCCTGTCATTGCATAAATCATCACAACCCTTTGCATATCGCCAAAATGGGCAACTACGAACATATTGCCAAAGGAGAGTGACTAGGAGAACAAGGGGGGGGGGGAGAGGAAATCATAAAAAGCTCCTGAAGTTGCTAAACGAGCGCGCTTCAATAAATCGCACGAGAATAGGCGCATCGTTGCTGATCAAGCCTTTTGAGAATGCGCCATTCATTCTACATTCACTCAGAATCTTGGTGGCATTTGACTGTGGTTTGGCTCATCTACAATGACTTTCTGAGCCGGTAAATATGCCCAAATCATTGTTTATGTCTTCACAAGCATGTCGGTACCGATTGCCCGACAGCAAAAGGATGAAAGGCTTTTGCAATGGTCCGGAGTAGTATTCTGGAAGCAGAGACCTTGATGCCCGGACCATCGAACGCACGCGCCCTTAATATATAGCATAGGTCTCTGAAGAGCCTCAGGAACTCTACAAAGAAGCCTGAAATACTGTGCAAGAAAAGCATCTTCCAAGAGCCTTGTGAACGGTACAACTCCCACGCCAATCCCGCTGGAATGACTCTATATGATTGCGAGATCACTTCGTCTACTACGGTCTAGGTGGAAGTGGTATAGTGACAAGTGGCGGGAGCTGCTCACGACGCGAGGGATCGGGGAGTAATCCTCAGCTATAGCGTCCGTATCGCTCTAAGCACTTCATTCTCGCGATCGGACTAGTTGGTACCGAAGGAAATAGAATTCAAGTGAAGTTTAACATCACCGGTGCTGCACTACATTCACTAGGAAATAGAAGTAGAATACCGTGGTCGCATTCTCGGAACAGGGGCTATCGTACGCGCCGATGGCTTCTTTTTATTAGCTATACCAACCTTACCCCTGACCATAATCTTTTTGGCAATTTGCAAAAAAAACCTAAAAACGGCGCCTCACATGGACTTATCACAGAGCCATTGTAGTGCCCTGTATCACTAAGCCAGCAATTCCAAATACAGACTATGCATGCGCCGCAACCGACCGTCAGATTGAAATGCACACGCTGTAGGTTTCATAGCATGGATAGACACACATCTATGCGGTAAACACGCGAAAACGACGCAAGCATGGCACACTCAAAATTGATCGGCTGTGAGCTGTGTATTTTCACCCTTACCCCTCACCTTTACGACCCCATCAGACTTCAACCTACATAGAACAAAGGATTCTTCTCCGTAGAACTACTCATTGCATTCCTAGACTATCGCCCATAGTTCAGCGCACCGATCCAATCGCCTATGGAAAACCGCAACTCTTGCTACCGCTTGTCCACTAAATCAATCGCTTCGGCGATTCCACGTGAAGTTCCGGTGCATGGCACACCTCAGGAGAGAAACAAACACCGCCAGGGAGGATAAGCTCATTTTGATAAAAATCGGCTCCACGCTAATCCGGAAAAAACGAACAAAAAAGTGAGTAAGAGACCAACCGTATCCGAGGCTCAAGCGCAGGGTTAGAGACTGCTCAAAGAAAAGTTTGGCTAAGTCTGGACTGGCTACAGAGACGGCTGCTGAAGATTGTGGCGGCTCGTTGTGAGGATCATCTGCGATCTGCGGCTTGGTAGAAGAGAGCGTGATTGAGTCTGAAACGATTCGAAGTCTGTCATCGATCATCCCCATTGGACGGACGAGCGGCGACACAATGACGCCTACAAAATGATGACGACAAGAAGAAAAGTGAGCATGACCCTGAGCGTTTTTACTTCCGCGGCATGGGTAAGGGTCACGGATCCCGACGTAGGGCCGTGAAGGTCAATTATGCGGAAGGGGAAACCCAGTCGAGCTACTCACTCTTCTTAGCAGTGGGGAATCAAACTTTGCTGCTTCTGGTAGTGAAAGAACTAGTAGCAGGGCGGGTACCATTTAGGGTAATGGGAAGAGTTCCCGTGAAATCGAGTCAGAGGTTATTTGTCACCCAGGCACCTGCTATCCTAGCAGATAGGCTAATAAGGATAGCAGGCGCCTGGGTAACAAATAACCTCTGACTCGATTTCTCCTCCCGCTACCCAAAGCTCGTTTACCCCATCCATTCGGTTACCGGTCGGTCCATTAGGAGCCCTTCTGCTCACCTCGCTCCTCTCGGGTACCGGTTAAGCCTTTTCCCATCGTTTCTGCTAGAGATGTCGTACATTGGCTACCGCGGGTTCACAACCCTCCCACCAAATAGAGGGCGGGCGACCCTTGGGTAATGTTACCCTACCATGTCGAACAGCCTCATCTCGAAATATTTTATAAGACAACACAAACTGTACTCTCGGCTAAATCAGGCGTGAAATTGCGTGCATCATGGGTCATTGCGTCTCTGGCACGAAAAACGCCGTCATATTTCGAGGTTAGCCAAAGTTTGACAAATTAGAGAATGAATGAAGGTCAATACGGGGAAATTCTGAGCTGTCACTTGTCACATTACCCCTCTTGTACCCATATCCATAAATACGCATAAATATCAAAGGGTGAAGATAGGCGGGTCCCACGTGGAAATCGAGTACTTAGTCAGAACATCAAGCTGATATAGCAAAGTAACGAGTCTAAACGCAAACGGGCCTATGAGAGCTTAGGAAAAACTTAACTATGCATGAGTCCACGCATGTGAATAGCCGTGTGAAGGAAGCAATTGTTATGGTCGGGCGGTAGTTCTGGCCACCGTGCTTCACAGAAAAAAGGAATCCGGTCGGATTAATGACGACCGATCCGATGGCAATAACACCTACACATCGCTTCACACACACAAAACGCGCGATGTCGATGGGGGATAGTCGTAAAATCGACCAGCGTCAGGCTCCGCCCACTTTGCGTAATTTTCCCGTACGGAAACATCGACCCCGACCATGACCCGCGCCCGGCCGGGATAGAGAAAGTTTATCAAAGCGTGTTGCTATTTCAGCCGCCCTGCAGAACGGCTGTGATAACCATCCAACGGGGGGGGGGCAATCAGCTGAATATCAATATCAAGAGGAAAAATCAGCGAACAATCGCGAGGCTCTGGAGACGATCGAGCCATGAACAGAACACAGTTCAGCAAAGACCCATCACCCACGTACAGGTAAGCAAACATTACTGAAGGGTCGCCAAGCTG